AAGTCACGTTTTTGACTCATTTATATTGGTTTGCCTATATGTACGTTTGTTTGCTTTGTGTGAATGATAAACAAAAATATTATTTGAATTTAATTTTAAACTTTTTATGCCGGAGACGTCGTTGTCAAGCTCGTTTGCTTTTTGGTTTATTTTTTTATATAGATTTTTTTGTTCAGTCGCTTTGATTGAGGGTCAGCGTTGAAAAATCTCTCTGTGTGTTAGTTTTGCACTATTTTTTTATGTGTCTGGCGTGGAGAAAGACTGGCCCAACGTGTTTCGCGATCGAAAGTCTGTTATTCAGCTCGACCATAAAATGTTAATGCGTAGTCTGGGTTGGCGGGCCGATCTGGGTGTGTATTTGGGGTCTGGGGTTCGGGGATCTGTTGTCTAACATATAGCTATCAGCTGTAGCGACGACTGCCGCCAAACTGCCAAAGGTAAACCTTTGTGCGGCCTTTTGTGGCGACCGTTCAAACCGATTCATACCAGTTCGGAAAAGCTCTCGGCCCCCAGAAACCCTCTGATCAATTTGTTTTGTTCTGTCTCCGTCTCCGGCCCAGTGATTCCCCCACCCGCCGATGGAATATTCCCAACACTTATGCTGGTACGGCATCAAGCCAGCATATATAGCAGTATATAGAGGGGGAAGTCGGAACGACTGCCATGACATCATTTGCATAGTCCATCTGGGTGGCTTCGATCCAATTGCTCAGCATTTCTCTGCGAGTCGGCACTTTCATTCATCGATTTGTTTATGCAATAATTGATTGTTGTGTTTATGTTTGGCCACTTAATTGAACGGCTTTCTTCCGATTCGTTTTTTTGTTTTTTATTTTTGGCTGGCCTAGGAAAGAATTGTTTTTCGGGTGGGTCAAAGAACTGAAGTTTTAAATTTTATGGGTTGAGCTCGGCGTAAAATTTCCATACGTAGTTTAATAGAACAAAAATTTTTTTTTATTTCATTTATGAACAATAAATTTTATGTTTGTTAAGTATTAAAGGTAGGTAGTGCTTTTTCTACAAATATTATTATTAACATTCGCCTGATAAGATTAAGCCTTTGTTATGATTTTTCCTGGCACATCAAGGTTTTCTTTTCAGTTTTTTTTTTTTATTCGTGCTTTGCCAGCACGTTCTAAGTATTTCATTTCATGTTCTTTGCAATAATGTTGGGTATCATTCGAGGTTTATCTTCCAACTATAAAACCGAAAGAGCTGGAAACAACCACAAATTTAGGCATTTATGGAAGGCTGAATGAACGACACTTGTTGCTGGATGTTGAAGTGGGTTTTTATTTCGGGGGGAATTACTTCGCCTGGCTTTAGGGAAACGGAATTTTGATAGTTCATGAAGAAAAACTGCTGACGCCACTTGTCGAGCATACGTCGCATTGCCCCACGGCTGATTGTGCGGGTTGCGAATGCGAATGGGAGCGAAAAAGTGCTCGAGCCGAGCTCATAATTGGTTACAACTGACAAAAACCAGTCCAGATCGGATGGCCAACTGGCCGACTCAAAAAGTGAGTACAAGCGGAGAGAGTGAGCTTTATCAGGGCGGAGAACCTGCTCTCCATTGCAAGTCCTCTTATCAATCGGATCTAGAGGGTCTATTACCCCTTTTTATAATGGCCACGCTTTCGGAACTTTCGGACAAAGTGTTCCGGTTTGCAGCTCAAATGATAAGTTATCTGACCTTCAGTAATGTGATTTGTATTACTCATAGCGGTCCAGAATACTTAACTATAATCCGAAGCAGCGACAAAGTTCTGAGATATAAAGATACTTCATGAAACGATAGTCTACTTCGCATGCGTTTTTTTATTTTACTGTCCCGCATTCAAGTAAATCCCATCTGGCAATCTTCCCCTAATTGTTAACCCATTAAAACACTTCGTTATGGAGGCGTTTGTCTTTGGCATTTGTGTCGCCAAGCGCTCTAATTGATGCCAACTGTTTTGTATATCTATTTATGTGGATATTCATGGAATAATAATTGCTGCTTGTCCGGCAAACAAAAGAAATTGTGTCATAAAAGCTTAATCAGCGGCAAACAAAAGCAAACATTCGATTCAATTGAAGGTTCACAGAAGGGAAATTTGATATAACGAGGATAGGGTTTTCCAACTAAAGTTGATGAACTTGAAGTGATAAAGTTTTGCAAGCAAAATACGCAATATCACTTTGCTTTCATCATATTTCTGAAATAAATAATTTTATATTATTTTATAAACGGATAAAAGCTTACGTATAATAGCATGATTTAATTAACTTTTAAATAGCTGTCTAAGATCTTTAAAAATATATTAAAAGAAATATTATTTAAAACATTTTCCCAATTTAAATAATATAGTATAAATACTATAACTGAATTTCCCTTGGTGTAAAAGTGTACAAGTGAAAGGGGTAGATGCACTCTTTTTTTTAATGGAGAGATTGAGAGGGCGACAGCAGAGTGGAAAGAGGGGGGGAGAACCAAGAACACGGTACTCATTTTCAGTTGCAGCTTGCAGTTGGCAGAGGAAACTGCTGGCACGCGAAAGCATTTAAAACCGACAACATTCGGTGAACTTGAAGTCAAAACGAATCCAATTGTCACGCGAGCAGCAGCAAAAGATCGCGAGCGAGAGGTTAACAGCTGATCGCTGAGTGGGGGAGAGTGTTAAGGAGAGAGTGAGAGAGAAAGTCGCTCTGCTCTAAGGTTGCTGCCTTTGCCAGGATCAGCGGAAAAAGAAGATCCGACGGTCGCAAAATATGAAATTCATAAGAAATATGCCAATTAGTAAGTTCAATTCCTTATGGCTATTATTATAAAATCCATTTTCGAAACATTTCGCGAGTGTATGTGAAAAAAATAAACGCAATAACAGTTTATGGTACGAGGGAATTTTAAGTTTTGAGTGCGAAAAAATCACTAAAGAAAAACCACAAAGTTTGAACTTTTCAAGGACCTAACTGAAGGAAATAAATAGTGAAAATTAAAAATACATACAAATTTGTGCATCTTTACTTTTTAATTTTGTATAATTTTAATGGAACCATATTTCCAAGAAATATAAGTTTACTTTTAATATAGTGTCGAACGAATATCAATTGAATAGAAAAATAAATAAATAAATTCGTTTTAGTAGTAAAAAAGTTTAAAAAGAAAGCGATCAGAATATATTTTTTAAGCAAGCCAAGATGGCAGACACCAAAGTCTCCTTTGTTTGCTTTGTTATGAAGTGCCTAAAAAAATTTGAACGCAAATAAAACCCAAAGATAAATTCATTTTAAGCTAACACCTTTGCATAAGCATAATCTAGGTGTTGTTAATATTAGTATAACCAATTAATACTACCCCGAAGATGATGGCCGTAATTCTTGCCCCTGGTGCGTTAGCATCTTTGATTTGATACTCGATTTTTTACGCCTTTTAATTGTTTGTTTTTCAAGTAGGTGCTAAAGTTAGTCCGAGTTCGTAAGAGGATCTGCCGAGCAGCAATAAATGCAGCTTAGTCATTCAATGCGGTGAAAATCCCCACTTGAGCTGTTGATAACAGGGCGTATACGCAATGAGTAATGATTAATATCTATGAATACAATGCGTGTGTTTGGGTTCTTTGAGAAGGGCCATTGGAGCCCTATACTTTCTTTGTTCCTTTGTTGACAGCTCCCAGACAAAGGAAAACGCAACGAAAATGCAAATATATTTCTTTTAAGAGTCATGTGTGTTTTTTTCGACTCTTGTGAAAGATCATCCATCTGGCAAGTACAGTTGGCCAAGATTGAGAGAGAAACCAGCACGTGTTCGCTTTTGATTTTTTTTCGGCTGGGGGAAAGTGCGATAAGATCGAACCCGCATTTTGCGTTATGGCATTGAGTTTTTTGGCTACGCACCTCGATTTTATGGCAACTAACTCGTTAGCACATGGAAGTCGGCTACTTGAGTGCTACAACGTCTGAAATTGGACTTTATCTAATCGGCGGTTGGTGGGCTGTATGCCTTGTACTCACCTTACCCACTTGATTGGGTTTTAATTGCATTAGAGCATTAGCCATGAGCTTTGATTTCTGATTAGTGTTGCCAGCAAGTTGATATTTATTTATGGCTCTTTGCTTGTTGAACTTAAGCTACCAGTGCGCCTCAAGTGTGCAATAAATTGTCGTCTACTAATTGCCGAAGAATGTTGATTAATCACATTATGTCTTTCACTAATTTGATTCTAATTTGATCTATCTTTCTGAAGCACCAAGAGCAATGTTCTTTTTATATCATATCTCGCCCCCGATGTACTCTTCATCTAATTTTAGGATCTTGTTTTTGTTTGACATGTGTCCCCATAAAAGTTGCAAAATGCTAAGAGGACAGTATCTTCGCGGTTATAACTCCTCTTTAAGCCACAAAACAACATAAGTAAAACAAAAACTGCAGAAAGAAAGCGACCTAAAATATGCGTTTAATAAGTACATGTTACAAAATCGCAGTCATAGCTACGATTTCGATGAACAATTAGCGGGAGAATCGTAATGGAGTGAATCAGACAATAAGTTCCCCTTCGAAGCGATATTATAAAAACTGAAACTACTGCGAAGCGATAAACTCGATAGGGATTTATTTATAGGGCAAGTTAATCAAAATTATACCGAGGGGAGTTTGTCTTAGGAATTAGCAAGGCAATTGCCTTTTGCATGCGCCGCAGTCCGATCACAAGGGTGGAGTATGGGGATGTAAATCAAATGAAATCGTATCGAATCCAATCAAGTATACGCCGTGTGGTCGCTCGTAAAAGACCGAAAAAACGCAAATCGCGAGCTTGGTCCGACTACATGTTTGTTTTTCACAGGTTTTGGATTTAATTATGACCTGTTTCTGGTCGCAGCCAACCTTCCCTTCCCCCCCTTCGCGCCTGTTGAATTCGATTTGCCTCCGCCGCTGCCGTCGACGTCGCTGAGCGAACAGCTGTTTGGCGTTTTTAATAAACAATCGTCGGCGTTTGGCTGCTCAGTTTGTGAGGAGCGTTCGGCGGATACACATCGCACCCATCGCTCTTGGCCAGCTCGTCCCAACGGGCCTAAACGGTTCCGACAAGCGCACTAATAAAGCCAAAACAAAATATTTAACAAACGTTTATTAAAATCAAGTCGAGCGTGCGCGTTTATTTTTCGTGATTATCCAAACAGACAAACAACCAACTCCTCTTCTAAATTGCGCCGCGAAGAGATTTCCATTTTTTATTGGCCGTGGCGTGTGCGTTCTGTGACAGAGCCAATGAACTTTGAAATATAGAAAATATTTCGAAAGACATTAAAAACAATATATATACATCCCTATACTAATTGCTGTCGGGAAAATTTGTTTGCGGTGCGTCGCGAAAAAAAAACTCTTGTTTCTACGCTGCAAGAATTGTTTAAATTTACACTTTTCTTCCGCCTGATCTGCTTTGTCGGTTTGTTCGTAAACAAAATTTCGGCCTGAGTTTTCCCATTCCACATATATGAGCTGAAGAGGTAAATAAAATTTTCGAACTGAATGATACAATTCTATAAGGTGGCCGTAAGAAAAGTACTTTATTTGATTACTTGTCTTTGTAGTCCAATGTTAAATCAATTAAAATGTGCTCTGGCACAGCCTTCAAGTGTTTCGACACTCGACAGATTTAGTGTATAATGTGTAATCAGAAGGGACCTTGGATCCGTTAACTTACAAAAAGTGGTTCTTGGAGTGGAAAAGCAAAGTAAAAACCAGTTGCAATCAGCCGAAATATGCATGAAGCGCTCCACAAATTATTCATTTATTTCGCCAAGATGTAAATCATTAATGGTGCGACTGGCACGCTGCTGTCGAGTGCCTAACTCCAATAACGTAGGAGCAAAAACTATTCCGAGAAATCCAACCGAGCAGTCCGAGGTCTATATCGTCATCTACACGTGCTCGGGCCCCTATTGAAAGTCGATTCTCGTCTGTGCCTGACAACAGTCTCCATTGCGAGTGGAATTGTGACCCGCGTATTAGTCAGGCCTCCCTCTAATATTTTTTTCGTCGTTTTATCTAAATGAACGCCTATATAAATATTTTGCCAGTGATAAGCTCATGTAACTGGCTGTGTAGCCCGCTCCGGTGACCTTAATTTTGGCTCGTTCAACACGCCGAACGGTGTTTGAGCAAAGTCTGATCGCCAGTTATCTTCGGTGCTCGGATTAGCGAACGGTAGTCAACTGATTATCTTCGCCAGCGAATCATGTTCAATATGGTTAGCTCCGCGCGGAAATGTTGTTTTCAATTGATTTTCTCGCTAAATTCCCACCCAACGTGCTAAATGAATCTGTTTGTTTGTGTATTACAATTATTTTAGGCAAATTAGCAGGGAAACGTAAACGGAAATTGATGACAGAACGTGGCTAGACACAATAAGTTCAATAATAAAATTAGAGTCATAAAAAAATTTTGAATTTGATAAGAAGCAGTGCTTTAGTTTCGCTTTGTCCACCTAAATTACGAAACGTAAGAGTTAATTTTTATAGTTTTAATAAACAGCTTTTTACGTCTTGGTGAATATTTTGGCAACGGAAAATAATTTTTTTAGGTGAGGGGAATTCATTTATTAAATGCTTCATTTATTAAATTGCTTAAAACTTTTTTTTTTATTAATCGTAAATGTAAGATGCAGAAATATATTATGTTTATATTATATTTACTTAGAATTAATTGAAATAATATAAATATACACATCATTATTGTGAATGGTTGCTTGTGGAAGTATTTATTTATTTTCTTTGTTGTCTGTTTGTTTATATGATATACAGCCCAAGCCCACAATATTCTTATCTAGATGAAAATCGTGTATAAGTATCTATTCTCCGAATAGTTCAATGACCCAAATTAGTAATCCAAACACTCTCTTTATTACAGTCCAAGCCAAAGCAACAAATGTGACAAGTAACAATAAATTGTGATAGAACACATGTAAACTCAGCTGGCACTTCTGGGTTTCTATCCTATCCCCCAAGGAATCAGCTTTCAAAGGACAAAGTCACACCAATCTACAGTACAAACACAACAACCAACTCAACTCACCTAGCTTCAATTGAACTCATTTCAACATGGATTTCGATCAGATTTTGGCCAAATGTGGCGACTTCAATCGCTACCAGTTCATGATACTCGCCCTCTTTGGTTTTATTAATATCATCGTATCGATGGTAAGCTATTTTAGTAATTGATTATGTAATAGCTATTTAATTGATTTGTTCATTTTTTTAGCATTACTTTACACAAACAGTCATTAGTTTTGTGCCAGACCATTGGTGCTATCACGATAAGCTGGTGAATATGACCTATACGGAAATCGGGGAAATATATGCCAAGTTTGAGAAGCCCTCGTGCACCAGACTGGACGAAATTTATGGACCTCACAATGTCACTGTTAGCAGCAAACCCTGCGAGAAGTGGATCTACAATTATGATTTCGGCTACAGAAGCATGAATACAGAGGTAAGTCTGGTTTTTAAACCGATAAATCTGGGACCGAAAAGCTCTAACCGTTGATAATTAAATCTCATTAGCTGAACTGGGTCTGTGACTCGGCGTACAAGGCACGTATTGGCCAGTCCCTGTTTTTCATTGGATCCGTGGTGGGCACTCTGTTCTACGGTCTGCTCTCCGATAAGATTGGCCGTGTCCCCGCCCTAATCTTGTCCAATTTCTGCGGGTTTGCCGGTGATTTCTCCACCATATTCACCAAGAGTGTGGCCACTTTTACACTCTGCCGTTTCATTTCCGGTCTGGCAGCGGACACAAACTTCTATCTAATGTACATTATAGGTAAGTAAAAGGGTGGCAAAGGATTGGTAAAAAGTAGGTTGAATTATTAGGTCAGCTTGCTTATTATGGCAATTTATTTTTGAGTACCAATCAACAAGTGGCTTTCTTGTAAAAAAAAAACTAGTATTTGATCTAAAAGTTAGCATTTTAACCTGGTAATAACTGATGAAAGCAGGTGCGAGCCAAACGTCCAAAATGTTTACTTTCAATTGTATGTGAAAGCGAAACTTACTTATGAAATGTTAAATATATTATAAATACCTACTATTTTAAACAAATACAACACATCCATTTACTGTACGAATTAGGGGTTACGAGTTATCACTTTTTTCTTTGATTAATTTTATAAATATACATTTTCTTTTCAGTTCTCGAATATATTCGCCCCAGCATGAGAACCCTGGGTCTCAACATGGCAGTGGGTTTGTTCTACTGTTTGGGCCTGGTATTCACACCCTGGCTAGCGGTTTTGGTGGGACACTGGCAAATCTACCTGGCCTGCACCTCGCTGCCCATTCTGTTGGTGGTGTTGTACTACTTTGTGGTGCAGGAGAGCGCCCAGTGGTTGGTAACCCGTAACGATATTGACGGGGCCATAATGAGGCTGAAGCGGGTGGCCAAGTTCAATGGCTGCCGCGTTCCCCAATCTGACTTCGATGAGTTCCGGCGACACTGTCAAATGACTCGCGAAATGCAAGGCGGCGATGACAAGAAGCAGGCCACGCTGCTTGACATGTTCAAAACGCCGCGCATGCGCAAGAACACACTCATTTTGTTCTTTAAGAGGTGAGTTGTTTAAGTTCATTTCACTTCTATTTTAAGCTGTCAGAAATTGTATTTTATTTAACAAGTTAAATGTGCATAAGTTTTTTTTTATAATTTTCAACTCAAAATTATACATTTATAAGATTTTAATTCTGGGTTATACATTTTAAAGCTAATGAAATTTTAATCTTTTAATTATAATAAATTATATTTAATTACTTAAATATTGTTGTAAAAGAAATTTAGTAATTTTGCATTCAATTATTCATATATCGTTTTTGCATCTTATTAAATCTTTTTTCAAATTTTTGTTTATAGTTTTAATTTTTAAGCTCTTATAAATTTTCAATAATTTAATCTTTATGTTTTCCCCAACCACAGCATGGTGATCACCCTGTGTTACGATGCCGTCTCTCGTAATGTGGAGGGAATGGGCATCTCGCCATTCATCATGTTCTCCCTGAGTGCCTTGGCTGTGCTGCCCTCGAGTATCCTGCTCGTCCTGCTGCAGGATCGCATTGGTCGCAAAGGCATGGCCTCGGGATCCCTGCTGGTGGGCGGACTCTTCACCGCCGCCGCCGGAATCGCGATCGCTTACCAGCAGCACAACCACAATGCCATTTTGCTGGCTTGTCTGACGATCGCCGCCCGTTTCGGAGTGGCCATCTCCTACGAGTCGGGATCTCAGTACGCCACCGAGCTGATCCCCACCTGCGTGCGAGGACAGGGAGTGGCTGCAGTCCACGTGGCCGGATTCGCGGCCTCCTTCCTGGCGCCCTACATCCTCTGGCTGGGCACCTTCTTCAAGGCGGCGCCCTCGATCATCCTGGGCGTCTTGTTCTTCGCCGGCTCCTTCGTCTGCCTGCTGCTGCCAGAGACGCTAAACAGGTTAGTACATATAGATTATACCACCAACAAATTGCATAATCAAAAAAAAAAAACATTGAAATTTATCTAAAATCAATTTATTTTCGTACAATTTCAAAGTATATTTGAATTGTATTGATAACTATTCAAAAATTGCATTATAAATGATTAATGATTTTATATATTTAATCTTCTATTGACAATTTATCATTTCTCATACAAGCTGAATTTATAAACCTACTTTTAAATCATCATATAATTTACATTATCAAATACAAACCTTTATAAATTACTTATTTGAGTTTTTGATATGGGCTGAACGAAACGAATGGATAATTTATTCAAATTTCAATTATGTCATTTTGGTTCATTGCCCTTCGGTAAAAAAATGATAGTAATTTTTTATAAAAATAACACGTAATCATTGACATTTTTGTAGTAATTATACTTGTTTGAATAATGTATCAAATTAATTTGAAAAGATTAAAACTTTAAAATTTTAATACTATATGAATTATATTTATAGTATTTGCACTAATTGAAAAATGTTTTCAAAATAATCTTTAGAGATTTAAAGTGAAAGTAGTACCATGACGACATTTCATTTACAGCAATAAATTCTTAAAGCAGTTTGCTAAATTAGACATTTTCCTTGATATTTTCCAGGAGCCTGCCCACAACCATTGAGGAGGGCGAGGTGTTCGGAAAGGGCGAGCGTATGTTCGACTTCCCGTGCCTTCACAACCGGCACGATGACGCGGAGTCCGATTCCGAGCTGGAAAAGTACAAACGCAAGCATTCGCTGATCGACGCCAAGCAGATGCAAAATGAGTCCTGCTCGAATGGCAAGCGCAAGCAGTCCTTGATCGACGCCGATCGTGAGGAACAGGCTTTGAAGGACGCCAAGCACTGAGGGGTAAAATCCCGCCCTCAGTAGTTCGTAGTTTAGCTAACCAATTTTTGCCTAGACCCTAAGACACCAGGCCCTTAGATTGATCCAGGCCCGAATGGCCTTCGAAATGTGTGCTCAGTATGCGGAAGCCTTTTCATATTTGTATAGAGTGTACCCCTTTAAATTTATATATACTTACATAACTACTCTAGCTGGTAAAAATTTAGGGCGTAGCTGTACATTTAGCTCGATTGAAAATTACTTTTTCCAAAACACTGATTGTGGATAAGAACGGAATCGTATAGTTAACACTAAGCGGCACAAAATCACTTAAATGAAACCAATTGAATACTTAACATAAGAGTTTTTCATACCTACATGTACATATGTGCGATACTACTTAGGCCAGTAACTGAATGTTCTATTTTTGATTTCGATCTTTAAGCAAATGAGAACCATTAAGCAAACTGATAATAATTATTTTAATTTAGAAAAAAATATAAAATATACAAATCAAAATCAATTTTTCACAAATGTTGTTAAGTTCTTTTCTGGCGGATGCGTTTATCGAAATATATTCAAGTTCCATTATATCAACTGTTAAAAATTTAAAAATATAAAGTTAAAGGAAGACGATTGTTGTCGTCTTAATCTTTTCACACAAAATGGCTTTATCAAATTATACGATATTATTAGCTTAAAAAACTGATTTTCTCTTCACTTCACTTCTTCACTTCATCTGTACTTTTTTAAAATTAGATGGTGAAGACTAATGGATTTAAGCTATATTGTAGAAATTTTTGGAAAATATTTTTCATATATACATTTATTGTGAAAGAAAAAGAGTACATAATACATGAATACCAGTTCTGTTTTGAATATATAGGGTTAGATAAATGCGTTCTTAACAACGGTTTTGGTTTAATTACTATGTATTCTTCACATGAGTAATAACTATCAGACCATTCGGTTACAGGAGTCAACACTTCGATGGCTCCATCATCAGGTTATGTGGCTAAAGCAGGTTAAACAGTAGTAAGTTTTCAGGTGCAACACTCTCTAGGGTTCAGACTTAGGATCTTCTTGGTTGGTCAGACTTTCGCGGCGTTTGTGGCAGCAAGGGAAGTAGAGGCAGCTCTCGTTCATTGCAAAGCGTTCGCCATCAGCCAGGGTTTCGGGAAGTTTCCTAAATAATATGAAAAAGCTATAAAAGTTACTTTAGATATTTATAGGCAGAACTTACTTGTGTAGAGTTTCTGGAAGGGTAAGGCAGAGAAGAGCGCCCAGGAACATCAGGATGCTGATGAAAATCGAGGGCAGTGGCTTGTAATATTGAGCCATGTAGATGACATAAAAGGCCAGCGAACTGGAGGCCAATCCTACCACATGGATGTTGGACACCGCTTGTCCACGAACACTGGTTGGAATGATCTCCGCCGCATATTGGATCTCCGCATCGTAGGAAACTGTGGTGCCAAAGCGACCTAGTGCTACCATGAAAGTCATCAAGACGGCGTTCTCATTGGGATCCAACACGGCGATCAAGAATCCTGTAGCGGCGGTGATGATGGCACCCACCAGCAGAGCTCCACAAGCCATTCCCTTGCGACCGATCTTGTTCTGCAGCAGCAAGATGGCAAATCCGGCTGGTAAATAAACAGTGGAGGTTATTGAAAAGAGCTTGAAGGGCGAGCTGCCCAGGCCTTCCATATTCCTGTTGATCACATCGTAGGACAACGTTATGATGACCCTTAAAAAACATTTCTTAGTATTTGTATCGCCATAAAACTGAGTAATAAACCTACGATTTGACCAGCAGCGTGGTGGTAAATCTACGCAGCCTGGGAGTTTTAAACATCCCCAGGAAGGTGTCCATCTGCTTGTTCATCTTGCTCTCCTCGTTCATCTTCTCGCGATAGTGCTTCACGAACTCGTCGAACACGGAGTCCTCCACCTGGCGACCGTTAAACTTGGCCACTTTTTTCAGACAGGCCACCGCTTCATCGTACTTCTTCTTGGTAAGAAGCCACTGGGCACTTTCACAGATCAGCAGAGGATATATGAGAACTCCAAGAGCTGGCAAAGATGCCAGCCAGAGGTAGTGACGCCAATTGCCGATCCACATGGCAAGCCAGGGCGAGCTCACCAGACCTAAGCAGTAAAACACGGCCAAAATGATATTCAGCCCAAAAGTGCGGCGCTTGGGACTCAGGTACTCGAAGACTGTTGATACGGCAGTAAATAAACAATTAGTTTCTTCTAGGAAACTCACAATAGGATCCCCAAACTCACCCAAAATGTACATAAGATAGTACATGGTATCCGTTGACAATCCCGACACGAATCTGGAGAAGGCGAACCAGGGTAGTGTATGTACGAAGGAGGTCATAAAGTCACCACTGGCACCGGATAAGGCCGCCATTAGCATGGCGGGCAATCGGCCGATTCGGTCCGAAAGAAATCCAAAGGTAATGGTGCCCACCACGGATCCCAGGAAAAAGAACGACTGACCCACTGCAGGCTGGTGCGACTTGTCGCAGACCCATTTCAGTTCGGTCGTCAGACTTTCGTAGCCATTTTCCCGCTCGAAGATCCAGTCCTGACACATCTCCACCTCCGAAGTCCCACTGGTTCCATTGACCACCTCCGAATAGGGAGTGCAGGATGAGTGCGAGACATTGGAGTAAATGGAACGCAGTTCCGTAGCACTTAGGCCCATCAAATCGTCATGGGAACACCTAAAGCGGTTAGATAAATGCATTTGAGAATTAAAAGATATTAACTGACTGTTAGTAATGTCTAGACCGCGAGCAAATAATTGCAATCTTTGTTTACATTTAAAAATCTAAAAAAAACGTTGATCTTTCAATCCGATAAGTTCTATATTATATTATTAGTTACCAAACTAAAAATATTAAAAAAATATGCTTCCTGTTGGCAAAAAAAAATTAAAATAATTCGTATTTACATAAAAATATTCATAACAACATACAACATATAAAATATTGTAAACATTGTAAATATTGTCAATAAATAAGAAAAAAAAATTTTTTTTTTTAGATTTTAAATGTAGGATTTGAATGTGTTTTAGTTGGTTTGATAACTTTTTTTTACTTTTTCTGGGCGAAAAATTATTGCTCATAAGCACTGCAGTAAACAACATTAAATAGTAGCCATACGTATTCGAACTGAACTAGCATTTTTAAAAAAACTTTTTAACTGACCGAACAATGATTTTGTTTTAACATTTAAACTACTTTGTTAGTCTTGACACTCTTGCGGAATCAGTTTAAATTTTAATAGACCTTGACCGCTAATAAAAAGAACTACTTACCAATGCTCAGGTGTAAAAGTAATGAGAGTCTGGGAGAAATAGTGCAACGAGCTCAGAATATTCGTGTAGCCATAGAGAATGAGTATGACAAACTGAAATCTGCCAAAGTTTCCACACTTCTCTAGCACGCGATCGAAATCCATTCTGATTTCTAATGAATTCAACTCGGGAGGTATTAAGAATTGTTTTGTCTAAAACACTTTGTTTATGTGGACAACGTGCTAAGTCTTCCAAGCGTAGACTCAACTACATTCTGCCTGCACGAGTAGTATTTTGACGCTTGGCTTGGATCGCCAGCAGCCTTATATAGTATAAAGATACCGGCGTCTTCCCCGATTAGGATGGGTAATTAGTAACCGAGATTGGGCTAGGCAATCTCTGCCGCTTTTTTTTGGGGTGTGTACCGATGATAAGAAGCTGAGATCCGAGCAAACATTCAGTCGAACAGGTGAACGAACAACCCTACACAGAAGTTGTTTGTTTACCTAGCATAAAATTCCGAATTTTACAATCGCACAACACAGCATCCACAAACACTGGTAAATATTTTTTTTCGAACTTTTTTGGCCGTGGCCTTGATTTTGGGATACCAGTTAGGTATTTTTATGAAATGCGTCTTCCCCCGTTTATCAGGCATTTAACTCGGTCAAGTGACTTTCTCGAAAATTTCGGCTTGTTGACTTTGCCTCAGATTTATAGGAGAATTAGCCACTGCTGTGCTGTAAGTCACGCCTGAATTTGAATCTGTTTATAGGTGGGGATTAACCGGATACACGGATCCTTTCTTTGTCGCCTGACACTTTAATGGGTTCCCGTTTAGAGATATAGATTATATATAGTATAGATTACAGGTCTGCTCCTCGGAGACGCCAAACGAAGCCTCTCAAAAATGCAGTAATAATTCGTTTATCTCGGTTGGTAGTAAAAGTTCCGGAACCGCTGGCGTGATATACATATATCATTCCCCAGATAGACTGAACTGAAGTTTGAACCAGCCAAATAGGGTTGGCAACTTAGTAGGTGTCTGAGCCTGGGATTAGATGATTTTAAATCTGTGTTTACGAATAGTATATGGTGAAATCGGGTACATTTAGTTTTCTCTGAAACCACAAAACCCCTAATTGTTATTTAACTTTTAAAGCCGATCGTAAAAATAAAGAGACCAGTCAACATGCTTTGATAAAATTATATTGTAAACATTTGCTTTGGCTTTTATTATATACATATACATATACATTTATTATAACTACTTTGTAATTTCATTGGCTGACTCCAGCTGAGATTCTGAATTTTTTGTTTGATGTCTGCGCGAAAGGCAGGGGAAGAACCACCACTTTTCTCCCTTGGCAAATACCTCGCCTTCCTCGAGAGTTTGTGGGAGTTGTCTGCAGAAAAAAGAAACACATTTTAAATGGAACAGGGATAAAGCAGTAAAAAACTTACTTGTGCAATGTTTCGGGAAGAGTCAGGCACAAACAGCCTCCAATAATAAGCAGGAAGCTAATCAATAATGAAGGCAGAGGTTTGTAGAACGTTCCTAGGAAAATAATGTACGAGCTAAAGAACGCAAAGGCATTGCCCACCACGTGGATGTTGGCCACTCCTTGCCCTCGAACACTTGTCGGTATAATTTCTGCAGCATATTGGGCCTCCGCATCGTAGGCCACCACTGCTCCGAATCTGGCCAGGCTAACCATGAGGCCAAGAAGAATGGAGTAGTTGGCCGGATCCAAGGTTCCTACCAAGTAACCTGTGGCCGCTGTGATAAATGCACCCACAAAAAGGGAGGCGCAGGCCATGCCCTTCCGACCGATTTTGTTCTGGAACATGATAATAACAAGACCAGCGGGTAAGTAGCACAGCCCCGAGTAAGAAAATAGTTTGAAGGGGGATATGCCGACGCCTTCCACATTGCGGCTCAGTATATCAAATGCAATTGTGATGATCATTCTGAGTAAATTTTAATTTGGGTTAATAGCTTCTAAAACCTGTGCATATTTTCAACTCACGATTTTATTAACAGGATAATGGTGAATTTCCTCATTCTTGGTGTCTTCAGCATGCCCACAAAAGTGTCCGAGTTTTTCTTCTCCGAACTGTTCAACTTGTCACGATAATGTTTGATAAACTCATCGAAAACGGAGTCTTCCACTTGTCGTCCGTTGAATTTGGCGATACTGCGCAGATTGTTGACTGCTTTATCGAATTTTCCTTTGGTCAGTAGCCATTCGATGCTTTCGTGGAGGCAGAAAGGGTAAATTAGTACTCCTAAGGCTGGAAGAGAAGCTGCCCAGAGGTAACTGCGCCAGTTTCCCAACCAAATGGCCATCCAAGGAGAAATCATCAGTCCAATGCAGTAGAAAACGCCGAGGATAATATTAAGCCCAAAAGTACGATGTTTTGGACTCAAGTACTCAAAAACTGGAAAATTACGAAAATGTAGTTAGATTACTGCGTTGAATAAGGTTTACATACCTAAAATGTACATCAGAACATATTGTGTGTCTGTAGAAAGTCCGGATATAAAGCGTGTGAAGGAGAACCATGGCAGACTGCTGACGAAGGAAGTGAAGAAATCTCCAGAGGCTCCTGTTAAAGTGGTCAAGACGCAGGCGGGTAGACGTCCTATTCGATCGGCCAAATAGCCAAAAAATATACTGCCTAGGGCAGAACCGATGAAGAAGAAGGATTGACCCACCGCCAACTTGTAAGCATCGTAGCAAACCCACCCGAGCTGTATTCAATATTTTAAGCGTTATTGTATAGTCACAAGATTTGTTTTATACTTTTCGGCTGTAACTTACCTCGGTGGTTATGCTCTCGTAGTTGCTTTCCTTCTCGAAGTCCCAGGAGTGACACTCGTACTCCTGAAGAAAGGATCCATCCTCACTGTACTGAAGAACACTGCAGGCCGACAGTTCGGTGGAGTTGGTTGGAAAATCAGCCACGGGAGGAGAACAACTGGAACATACAACATAAAATGGTAAAATTAACAAAATTACTTCAATATTTTTATAATAAAATTAAAAAATTTTATTTTAAATACAAAAAATTAGTTATTTGCGCTTTTTTTAATATTAGATATTCGCTTTTCATAAAATGGTTTGTCTTGAAATTATAATTTACATTCTTCTTATATTTTCAAAACAACTAGAATATCCTGTATGGTTTACTTTTCATAAAAACTTATGAAAACTAATTGTAAAGTTTATACCACTTACGTGTGCGAGGGTGTAAAACTTATGAGGGTCTGCGAGAAGTAATGAAACGAGGACACTATGTTCGTAAATCCATAGAGCCCCAACAAGAGGATTTGGTATGGACCAAAGTTTCCACACTTTTCCAAAACTCGCTGGAGATCCATTTCGCTACACGGGTCTGCTGCGATCTCACACCAGCGACTGATGCAAGCGGAGAATCCAGATTCTGGTATATACTCGGTTGTAGGCGCTAATACTTGGCAAACACAGAAAATCCGCGGTTAGTTTTATCTCACAGGGGGCACGAGTAAGAAATAATGTGTTTGAACCTCTTCCGACGTCTGGCTTCTGTTTTGGCGTGTGGAGAGATTCGACCGCTTAATAATAGGGCCCACTCAGCCTTAGTATACCCTAACTTATCTTAATTGAAATTTAATGGCCCAGTAAACTAAAGCCGGTAAATCAGCCAGCCAATGTTCACAGATGTTTATTTCGCTTTATTCATTTCACCGTTTGGTTAAACTCATCAATGAAAGGGTATTATACATAATATATATAGTCAAGGGCTTACAACGCCAAAAAGAAGAAGGTTCCGACACCATAAAGTAAATATAGGTATTTTCGATCAATATTTACAGACAATATAGATATTTCAGTCCGTCCGTTTCTCTGTGATTTGTTTTCTAATTTTTTAACGACATTTCCATATTTTCTTATATGACAATAACAAAAAAAATTTAGAACTAAATACGTTGTATTTGACATTCTGTACATATATGGGTTATATTGTTTAGGTCCACAGAAATAATACAGGAAATTTTTTTAAATTTTTTATAAATCTAAATTACAATTTGTGGGAATCGTATAATAAAACTACCATAGATACCAATATACCAATAAAGGAAAGAATAAAATATCGTGGTTTATTGTTCAAATCCAGAAATTTTAAATACTAGACCAACTGTACCGTATACCTTTAACATCAGACGTGTAATAATCTAGTGATTTAATGGACTTTAGTTTCCACTCTAAGGTAGTGTGTTCAAGTATTCAAATAAGTGGTCGCCTCTCCGCAGCTAATTCCTTTTTTACCGAAGTGCTACAGTAAAAGTTCCGTGAACATTGGCGTAATCTCTTTAAATAATGCCCTAAAGAGGCACAGGTAAACAACAAAACAACTCATTAGCAGAATAAAAGTCTGAGGCCAGTGTTAAAAAGATTTTAGTTCTAGAAGTTCTACAAGTATGGTGAAATCATTTATAAGGATCTAAAATCATAAAATCTGTAAATACACATTAAATAAAAAGTTCAGACTCATATATACCCTTGCAGAGCAAAAGGATATACTAATTTCAGTCAGGAGTTTGCAACGCAGTGAAGGAGACACCTCAGACCCCATAAAGTATATATATTCTTGATCAGCATCACCATCTGATTTGAAATACGTCTGTACGTCTGTCCGTCTGTCCGTCTGTTTCTCAGTTTTAAAGCTATCTTGCTGGAAATTTCCCAAAAGTTGTGTAGTCGTAGCACGCAGAATATAAGTCGGAACGGGCTGGATCGGGCGACTATATTGGATAGCTCCCATACGAGAGAATAAAATAAAAAATTCTCACGCTGTTGTTTTTGATCAGATCGATATTTTCCAGATGTCGTTTTTTAACGAATTTCGGATTAAATTTTATCAAAATCGGATAACTCTATCATGTAGCTGCCAAAGATCGAAATATATACATATAAATAATGGAAAACAAATTATAATGTCGTTGTTTTTAATCCCATGAGCATGATTTTTATAGTTTCGATGTTGTTTAGCCTTTATGCATTTTGATCGACATATTTGATGCCTGCAAGGGGGTATAAGCTTCGGCTTGAACCTATCTTTTTTTCTTGTTTTATAAAAGCTTCTTTATTTTATTGAATATATTAACAGGTAAATAATTTATTTTTTAAATTCATTCGCTGATTCCAACTGAGATTCGAGCTTATTTATGGACTGTCTGCGTGAAAAGCAGGGAAAGAAATACCATTTCTCTCCCTTGGCAAAAACCTCGCCCTCCTCCAAAGTTTGTGGGAGTTGCCTACAAGATGAAAAAAAATATACATATATTTTATGAAACCAGAATATGTATACAAAGTAATAACTTACTTGTGTAAAGTTTCGGGAAGAGTCAGGCACAAACAGCCTCCAATAATGAGCAGGAAGCTTATCAATAGCGAAGGCAGAGGTTTGTAGAACGTTCCCAGGTAAATGATGTACGGGGTGCAGAACGCAAAGGCATTGCCAACCACGTGGATGTTGGCGACCCCTTGACCACGAACACTTGTGGGAATTATTTCGGCGGCATATTGGGCCTCCGCATCGTAGGCCACCACTGCTCCAAATCTGGCAAGGCACACCATCACTCCAAGGAGAACGGAATAGTTTGCCGGATCCAAAGTGCCCACCAAATAACCAGTGGACGCAGTGATAAAGGCACCAACAAAGAGCGAGGCGCAGGCCATGCCTTTCCGACCGATTTTGTTCTGGAAAAGGATAATAGAAAGGCCACCCGGAAGGACAACGAATCCCGAGTAGGAGAAAAGCTTGAAAGGCGAAATGCCCACACCTTCCACGTTTCGACTCAATATGTCGAATGCTATTGTAATGATTATTCTGTGAAAATTTAAGGCGATTGAAGAATGGATCATGTTTTTAGTAATTGTCTGACTTACGATTTGAGTAACAAGATAATGGTAAATTTCCTCAGTCTTGGTTTCTTCAGCATGCCCACAAAAGTGTCCGAGTTTTTCTTCTCTGAACTGTTAAGCTTCTCGCGGTAATGCTTGATAAACTCATCGAAAACGGAGTCTTCCACTTGTCGTCCGTTGAACTTGGCGATACTGCGCAGATTGTTGACTGCCTTGTCGAATTTTCCTTTGGTCAACAGCCACTCGATGCTTTCGTGGAGGCAGAAAGGATAAACTAATACTCCCAGTGCTGGAAGTGATGCTGCCCAGAGGTAACTGCGCCAGTTTCCCAACCAAATGGCCATCCAAGGCGAGATCATCAAACCAATGGTGTAGAAAACACCGAGAACAATGTTAAGCCCAAAGGTACGATGCTTCGGACTCAAGTACTCAAAAACTGCAAATGAAGAAAATTATAGATACTTAATAGAAATCCTAGTTGGTTTTACATACCCAAAATGTACATCAGGACATACTGAGTGTCCATTGAAAGTCCGGATATAAAGCGTGTGAAGGAGAACCATGGCAGGCTGCTTACGAAGGAAGTGAAAAAAATCCCCAGAGGCTCCTGTTAAAGTGGTCAAGACGCAGGCGGGTAGACGTCCTATTCGATCGGCCAAATAGCCAAAAATATACTGCCGAGGGCAGAACCGATGAAGAAGAACGATTGACCCACCGCCAACTGGTAGGCATCGTGGCAAACCCATCCAAGCTATATTAAATGTTTTAAACGATATTGTTACATCTCAATAAGTATTTTGTACTTTTCGTCAGTGTCTTACCTCGGTGGTAATGCTCTCGTAATTGCTTTCCTTTTCGAAGTCCCAGGAGTGGCACTCGTACTCCCGAAAAGAGGATCCATCCTCACTGTATTGAAAAACACTGCAGGCCGACAGTTCGGTGTAATTCCCCGAAAAATTATCCACTGGTGGTGAGCAACTGGGATGGAGTACATTTATATAAGAAGGATTGTACAAAAATTAAAACATGTGTATAAGCACAAAGATTTTTTATAATTTCTTTTATAAAATAAAAAACTTTCACTTTACAAATTTCTAAAAGTCTTATTCTTCATTATTTATTTCATTTATTTATTTATGGTTTTTGGTTTTAATGGTTCAAATTTTTTTTTAATCATCTGTTTTATTATCGGATTATTTTTGTTTTGCCTCTAGTTCACTCGTTCTTATTAACTTAAATTTTTTTTTTTTTTGACTTACGTGTGTGAAGGCGTAAAACTTATAAGGGTCTGCGAAAAGTAATGAAATGAGGACACTATGTTCGTGAATCCATAAAGCCCCAGCAAAAGGATTTGGTATGGACCAAAGTTTCCACACTTTTCCAGGACACGCTGGAGATCCATTTCGCTACACGAGACTTCTGCGATCACAAACCCGCGACTGATGAAAACGAAGGTTCGGGATGCCGGTATATACTCGTGTGTAGGAGCTAATTCTTGGCAAACAGACAGTATCTGAGGTAAGTTTTATCTCATTTGGGGGCAAGGGAAGGAAAAATCCATTTCCGACGTCTGGCTTCTGTTTTGGCGTGTGTAGAGTTTCCAGCAAGTTTAAGTGACGCCCGATTAATGTGACGCCCGCGAAACATAAGAATGCCCTGACTTATCTTAATAGAACTTAATGGCCCAATAAAATAGAGCTGTCTGGCAAATAGAAACAGGCAAATCTGTTGGTCAACATCTTGTCACAAGTACACAGATTTTGAGGCACACAATTTAATTTTGATTTAATAATATTACAATGAAGTATACCCATTTTTATTTTCATCGGGATATTAAAAAAATACGTTTTTTGTTTATAAATTTTTGTTTGTTTACCGCAATGGTTGTAAATGAACTGTAGACATAAGCGTGCTCTATAAAAATATTGCCCTAGAGTGACACTACTGTTGTATAAACAAGTCAAATAAAATACGTGTCTAAGCCCAGAATTAAGGAGATATTACTTCCAGCCATAAGAATTAAAATTCTATCAGTATGATGAAATAATTCAAAAGCATCTAACTCCATGGAATCCATAACCACTAAATAACTTTGTGTGTATTTAAATTAATCTATTAGTTTTTAATATATATAATAACATAATAACAAATTTAATGTTTAATTAGCTGACTCCAGTTGAGATCCATGTTTATTTGTTTGCTGTCTGTGCCAGTAAAAAGGAAAGAAATATCACTTTTGGATTATGGGAAAATCCTCGCCCTCCTTCAAATACTTGATGAACAGTATTATTGCGACCTTTTCCAGTCTTAGTGTCCTTAGAATGCCTATAAATGTGTCCGTATGCGTATTTTGTGGGTTGTTCAACTTCTTGTGGTCGATAGTGTTAAACAAAGCCCTCCATTACCCGATTCCGTGAATACACAAAAGCTAATTAGCGTTCCTAAGCCTGGGAGATAAAAATGTTCTTGCAATATTAAAATTTTAATAAAAATCTTAGAGATCTATGTAGAGT